CGCGGCCATGTCCGCGTTCCCGCTGCATTGGGCGGTCGCCGCTTTCCCGCGAGACAATCGATTTCTGTTCGCTTCGGCCAGCTGTAGGCCAACCGGCGCCGCGAACGCCCAGTCCCCCCAGAGCCTCCTCAGGTCTGAAACCCTCCGCAAAGGCGCACGTCAGTCGGGACACCTCCGAAACGAGCGCACATCAGTCGGGTGCTGCTCGTCCTCCTCAGTCGCTTCCTGCTCTGCATCTTCTGCTTCAGCTCCCATTTTGCCATCGTCATCGATGTTCGCCCCATCGTCACAAGTCCGCCGTAGGCCAGGCGCCGCGTACGCCGAGGCCCCCTAAAGCCCACTCGAGCTTGATACCCTCCCAATAAGTGCCCAAGGAACACCACTCCCGGGCCACCTCCAAAACGAGCCGACATGAATCAGCGTCACCGTCTCCCACCGGCCGCAAACGAAACGACCAAAGAGGACCGCGAGAAGTACAAATCAACGGTTCTTCTACACCTGTCAATGGACTTAGATTTGGCGCGCGCGGCCGCCAAAACGCCCAGAGGCTCCCAAAAGGCCATCAGACGGTGCAGAGGCTCCAAAAGCGCACAAAAAGCAGTGAAGCTTTGACCGCGACCAAAAGTTGTCAGCGCGTTCCCCTCTGTTCACAGCAGGGCTCGCCATCCCTGCTCCGAGCTCCGAGCGATCCAATCCGCCCCCAATGCTCGCGGCCCCCACTCGCGCGCAATCATGGACATAGTTTCTCCAACCTCGTGACGTTCACCCACCTCGCAGTCATCGGATCCGCTCCCTCGCTGCTGGAAGCGCGTTCCGTCATGACTGTTCCCCCTTCTCGCGACTACAAGGACGTCTGTCTCGTCGTGCCCATCCTCCTCGTCGTTATCTTCCTCCTTCTCCTCTTCTTCGACGTCATGAGCGCATACTCCTCGTGGTCACCACTTCCTCCCGCCTCGCATGCGTGACTGTGGCCACATCACACCGATGCCTTGTCACCACAACCAAAAACATGTTTGTGGCCCGTTCCGGGATGACCGTGGCCGCCGTCGTGGTCATCATCAACTTTCACCAATACCGCATTCACCGAGTGGTTAGGAGCGCATGGACGCAGGACCAAGATTGAGGATGTCAAACTTTGATGTGTCACGCGCACGTTTGCAATCCAGACGTCCTCGGTCCTTGAAAACCATGCGGCCGCTGCAGCGCGGGCCTCAACTTCAGGTTGGAGTTTTGCAGTCGTCGTTGATAATGACACTCTCGCCCAAGTGCGGGCGGGCCACTTTTCTGGAACCGAGTACTTCCTCATCGTTGTCACCCCGCTCCTTTTCCCCTCCTCCGGTTTCCATTCCAATTCGTATTGCTGCTGTTCGTCCTCAACCTCCTCATTCCTCATCCGCCTTCTCTTCCTGCTCATCCTCTTGCTCATCCGCCACCTCCCCCAAGATACGCATATCCCTTTTTGTTCCGACTGCGCGCGCAACGATAGCGCTCTCCTTGGAATTCCAAGTCTGCTACCACACGCGTCGGCTTATATAACAAGCAGAAAGCAATAGGAAGGGATGGGTGGGATGGGGTCGGAAGTAAGATAGGGCGCAAGCTCACCTAGCTCGAATACTGCTTTCCTCGCTCCCACGAAGACGCCTGGGGAGTGGCGCGACACCTTCGGGCATTGGCTTAAACGCACAGGATGGTACCGAGATGCATTGTCTCGCTTGGTTCCCTTCCGACCGTTCTAGGTCCTTCCGAAATGGTGTTCCCGCTGCTGCGTGGGCCTCATTTTAGAATCAGAGCTTCGCTCTCGTCGTTCAGAACGAAACTCTCGTCCCAGCGCGGGCGACTTCTCTGGATCCGAGTCCTTCTTCATATTTCCCCTCCTCTGCCTGCCCCTCTTATCCGTGTTTGTTGATTCACTTTTTCCCTGGGTTCAGGTCCTGCTGGGACAATGAGCCCGCATAGCGTGCGCCCTAGGCTGTGGTGCTCATCAGCGCTGCGCCCGTGCACATTGCTTCCGTGGATGTCCGAACCGAACACCTGCTCCTCCTGCTAATCCCGCTCCTTCAACCCCAGTTATTGTTGCTGCTGCTCATCCTCGTCCTCCTCCTTGCTCATCCTACTTTGACTCCAGCTTATCCTCCCGCTCATCCGCCACCACCTCCTCCTCCTCCTCCTCCTCCTCTTCCTCTTCCTCCTCCTCATCACCCTATGTAAACAGCTGTCCTTTTCCGATTGCGCATAACACCAGCTCAACTATGACACGCTTCGGCGGATAGAGGAAAACTAGCCTGACGAAAGACCCAACAGCATGCAGTTGCGAGTACCACATTGTGGTACCGGTTTCGGTGGAGCTCCCTATGGGGCCACGAGACGCTGTCCTAGGTGGCGTTGACGCATGCGGCCTGTGCCACTGGAGCCTTCGGTGGAGCTCCCTATGGAACCACGAACCGCTGTCCTGGGTGGCGTTGACGCATGCGGCCTGTGCCACTGGAGCCTTCGGTGGAGCTCCCTATGGAACCACGAAACGCTGTCCTGGGTGGCGTTCACGCATGCGGCCTGTGCCACTGGAGCATTCGGTGGAGCTCCCCATGGGGCCACGAGACGCTGTCCTGGGTGGCGTTGACGCATGCGGCGTGTGCCACTGGAGCCTTCGGTGGAGCTCCCGATGGAACCACGAAACGCTGTCCTGGGTGGCGTTGACGCATGCGGCCTGTGCCACTGGAGCTCCCTATGGAACCACGAAGCGCTGTCCTGGGTGGCGTTGACGCATGCGGCCTGTGCCACTGGAGCCTTCGGTGGAGCTCACTATGGGGCTACGAAACGCTGTCCTGGGTGGCGTTCACGCATGCGGCCTGTGCCACTGGAGCCTTCGGTGGAGCTCCCTATGGGGCCACGAGACGCTGTCCTGGGTGGCGTTCACGCATGCGGCCTGTGCCACTGGAGCCTTCGGTGGAGCTCCCTGTGGAACCTTCGGTGGAGCTCCCCATGGAACCACGAAACGCTGTCCTGGGTGGCGTTGACGCCACGAACCGCTGTCCTGAGTGGCGTTGACGCATGCGGCCTGTGCCACTGGAGCCTTCGGTGGAGCTCCCTACGGGACCACGAACCGCTGTCCTGGGTGGCGTTGACGCATGCGGCCTGTGCCACTGGAGCCTTCGGTGGAGCTCCCGATGGGGTCAGGAAACGCTGTCCTGGGTGGCGTTGACGCATGCGGCCTGTGCAACTGGAGCCTTCGGTGGAGCTCCCTATGGGTCCACGAGATGCTGTCCTGGGTGGCGTTGACGCATGCGGCGTGCGCCACTGGAGCCCTCGGTGGAGCTCCCTATGGAACCACGAAGCGCTGTCCTGGGTGGCGTTGACGCATGCGGCCTGTGCCACTGGAGCCTTCGGTGGAGCTCCCTACGGGACCACGAAACGCTGTCCTGGGTGGCGTTGACGCATGCGGCCTGTGCCACTGGAGCCTTCGGTGGAGCTCCCTATGGAGCTACGAAACGCTGTCCTGGGTGGCGTTGACGCATGCGGCCTGTGCCACTGGAGCCTTCGGTGGAGCTCTCTATGGGACCACGAGACGCTGTCCTGGGTGGCGTTGAAGCATGCGGCGTGTGCCACTGGAGCCTTCGGTGGAGCTCCCTATGGGGCCAGGAAACGCTGTCCTGGGTGGCGTTGACGCATGCGGCCTGTGCCACTGGAGCCTTCGGTGGAGCTCCCTGTGGAGCCACGAAGCGCTGTCCTGGGTGGCGTTGACGCATGCGGCCTGTGCCAGTGGAGCTTTCGGTGGAACTCCCTGTGGGGCCACGAAGCGCTGTCCTGGGTGGCATGGACGCATGCGGCCTATGCCAGTGGCGCCTTCGGTGGAGCTCCCTTTGGGGCCACGAAGCGCTGTACTGGGTGGGTGAAACGCAGGGAGGTGACGAGGCGGATGGGAGGAGGGAGGAGAGGAGAGGAGAGGAGGGAGGAGAGGAGAGGAGAGGAGAGGAGAGGAGAGGAGAGGAGAGGAGAGAGGAGAAGAGAAGAGAGGAGAGGAGAGGAGGAGGAGGAGGAGGATGAGGAGGAGGAGGAAACGCGGGGCGCTGTCTGTTTAAAACGAGAACCCAACACCACAGGATGGTTGGGAAAAGCAGCGCAGTAGGAAGGGTCTTTAGCCAAAACGCAATGGTCAGCCGCATTTCTGAATCAAAACACAAAAGTGGGTCTCATTTCTGGGTATGGAGGGCTGATATCGAGCCAGAACACAACAGTGAGTCTCATTTCAGGGCCAAATCGAGCCTGAACACTGTAGTGAGCGCTGCCAGCACGCGCCGCCGGACTGGTGGCACGCCTCCCCCCCGCCCCCCCTGTGAAGAGTGTGGCGAAAATCGAATGCTGAACACGTGCTGCGAAGGCTGGGCCGAGTCGAGCCATATTGAGTCGCGTTTCTGGGCCGAGTCGACCCAGAACACCATAGTGACCGCTGCCAGCACGCTCCGCCAAAAGTTTGAGACTCCTCCACCCGCCCCAGAAAATACTTGAGCACTCTGAGAGCCCTCGAGCGAAAACGCCATTCGAGAAAAACGTTCGAAACACCAGCACCCCCACCCCCGGGACAAGTTTCCGTCTCGAATACCTTCGTGATGGCCCCGGGCACCCACAACTAACCCCGGGAGGCCGAGATCGAGGGAGGACCGCCGGCCGAAAAAACTACATCGTCGGAAACCTGGGCGTCCTGCTCTCTGGCCCGTCGGATCCCCCTCGCGCTCACGTTCGTCGATGGTCCTCAGAACGTTTGCTTAAGCCAACGTGTGCCTGTCCACCGAGGACCTCCAGCACGATGAAGGCGGTGCAACGAGGGCTGGCGCACAGGCTGTGTTAATAGATCCGCAGAGCCGAGCGGGTCGAGCGCCCATCGGGCCAGCACACGTCCTGAAGGCCGATGGCCCATGCCTTCGGCGAGGCTCCTGGGCGAATGCGTGCAATGCTCGCCCTTGAGCGATTCGCCCCCCGTCGTCGCCTCCGCCCCCCCCCCGGGCCTGACGATGTCACTGGCGCGTTGCATCGGCGCCCCGCCCGGCGCGGCGCCGCCCCCCACGAGGCCCTCCGCGCCCGCCGCGCCGTGTTGCGTGGACTCCTGCCCGCGAGGGCGAGGGCGAAGGCGCTGGCGGGGAGTCGGGCGCGGGCGACGACGAGGACGAAGTCGACGGCGAAGGGCGAAGGCGAGGAAGAGGGCGAAGTCGACGGCGACGAGGAGGATCGGACCGGCTCGGCCCGGCCTGCGTGCCTCGCGTGGCACCGCAGCACCCGCCGCGCGACATCGTGCGCCCAGGGGCTGCGCGCGCCGTGACGACGAGCGGGAGCAGGCGGAGGTCGACGGCGAAGGACGACGAGGACGATGGCGAAGTGGGAGGACGACGAGGGCGAGGGCGAGAGAGACGGCGAGGCGCGGGATAGGATCGGGTCGGCGAGGTCCTGCGCGTGCCGCGCGGCGCGGAGAAGTGCAGTGTAAGCCAGCGGCGCAGGAGGGTCCGCAGGCGCGGGCAGCAGATGGGCATGCCAATTGCGATCGAGCGCTGTCGAAGGCGCAGCGTACAAAGCGTCGCACACTGCGACATGCAAGCGATGGGCATGTTGGCGAAATTGTAAGTGCGAACTGAAGCGCGACAGCCAAGGGGCGGCACTGCACACACGCACGCACACACACTTTGCGTCGGCGGCGAGGCAGACTGACTGCGCTGGCGATGAATCGTTAAGAAAAAACGAGCGCGAATTGGGCCACCATGCAGAGGGGGGAAAGGGGGAGGAGGAGGAGGAGGAGGAGGAGGAGGAGGAGGAGGAGGAGGAGGAGGAGGAGGAGGAGGAGGAGGAGGAGGGAGGAGAAGGAGGAGGAGGAGGAGGAGGAGGAGGAGGAGAGGAGGAGGAGGAGGAGGAGGAGGAGGAGGAGGAGGAGGAGGAGGACGGAAACCGAGGCCCGCTCACAGCGGGGCCATGCGGCGGCGGGGGGGGGCGGCGCCGGGCGAAGGGCCCAGCGGCGGCGGGGCGGCAGCGGTGGGGGGCAGGCCAGGCTCGGGGAGACGTAAGACCCGGGTACGGGGGACTCGGAAATCCCCGACGAGGTCGTCAAAAAAATGACGAGGCCGAGCCTGCATTTTGACGAGGCCTCCCGCTGCAGACATCCCACAAAACTCCTCCTCGTCAAAATCCGAGTCGCGGTCGTCAAAAAACGATGGCGAACCCGAGTCCCGGCAAACCCGGGTCTTACGCTCCCCCGACAGGCGGCGGCCGGAGGCAACGCCCAGGGGGGGAGCAGTGCCCAGCGCAGGCTGGAGACGAAGGTGAACGCGATAGCGGAACCGAGGCGAGGCAACCCAGGAGCGGCCATTGCAGGACCACCTCAAGGAGAAGGGTCGGCCTGCAGACCAGGCAGGCGGGGCGGCGAGGCCAGCCCAGCCGAGCGGCAGGCAGAGACGGCGGAGGGGCCGTGGTCCTGCAGGGAGCAAGGATCGACGGGGGCACCAAACATGTGCACCAAGTGGACGAGGAACGAGTGGCGAGAGGCCAGGCAGGGAACGCAGCAGAGCTGTCCGGTCGACAACCAGAACCGGCAGGCGAGCAGAGGCGGGCGGGCGAGTGGGGCAAGGCGCGGGCGGAGCCGGCCCGAGCCCCAGGCGGGGGGGCGGGAAGGCAGAGCCAAGGGCGGAGGCCGCGGCCGCCCAGGGAACCAAACACACGCAGACACACAAAGGCCCTTGGAACCGCGCGAAAGCTCAGGATTCGCGCGCCCAAACGTGCTCAGGATGGCCACGACCAAAGAGGATGCAAGGTACCTTTACGACAGGGGCCCATCCTTAACACCAGCTTTGACTGCATATAATTTTGCGAGGCCATGGCGGACGCGCGCCGTGGCGAACAGCAGGAGCAGGAGAAAAACACAGGCACAGTAACGCTGCCGCGGTTATGCGTCTTGACGGTGGGCCCCGAGTTCGTCTCATGACCATGCCGAGCAGGACCAGGAGCGGGAGCGGGGTGGGTCAAAACGGGAGCAGGGGCGGGACTGGGAACGGATCCTCCACTCTCCCCTCACCTCCCACTCCCTTCCCGTTCCTGTCACCACCCCTCTTCTCGTCTCGCGACACTCACTTGCCCCTCCCCTTCCCCTTCCCTCTCAACTATCGCCTCCCCCCTCCCCTCCCCTCCCCTCCCTCCCTGTCTTCCATTCAATGGGTAAGCCGGATCTCCTCCTGGCTCCAGTTATAATGGTAATTGTAGCCGTCATAGTCCTGGCTCCACTCCGGCTTGGCCTGCTGGCGAGAGGGGGAGGACGGGGAGCAGGGGGACGGCAGGGCTTTCTCAGAAGGCTCGGAAGTCCAACCAGCACCCTCCCCATGGACCTGGACAAGGGGTTTCGCGAGGTGTCGGAGCGTCCAAAACGGCCTCGGCGAGGAAGCTAAAATCACTGGTTCTACTAAGGTTTTGGCCCCATTTTGGCCTCCTGAGGAGGGGGCCCTAATTAGTGAGGGCGCGCCGCTGGATTACCCGAAAGGGGGGGGGGACCCCGCTTTCCCCGATCGTCGTCGGGGACCCCTCCCACTCCCCCCCATTTCCCGATCCGTCGTCGGGTACCCCCCCCTCCCCCCCCTTCCCGGTCCGTCGTCGGGGACCCCCCCCCCTCTTTCAAAAGGGGGAGGGGTGTCCGACCCACCCCCCCGCTTCCCGGTCCGTCGTCGGGGAACCCCCCCCCGTCTTTCAAAAGGGGGAGGGGTGTCCGACCCCCGCTTCCCTCTCTTGGCCGCCAGATTCGACCCCCCCCTCCCCCCCTTTGGCCACGGCGCCCTCGGTCTCCGGAAACCGACCACTACCACCCCGAAGACTAATCCTCACCCTTGCCCTAAATTCTTAATCCTATAATTATTAAACCCTGAACAACCTAAAAGCGGTCACCATGCAAACCCGCTCCATCTACTGCAAAACAACACTTTCTGAGCACGCGTGCAGAATTTCATATTTTTTATAACACAAAATGCCCAATCCCCGTCGCGACCCGGCCCCATCTACTGCAAAAAAACACTTCCTGAGCACGCGTGCAGAATTTCATATTTTTACAGCACAAAGTGGGCGGTCCCCGTTGCGATCTGCTTATGTAAACCCGCTCCATCTGAGGCAAAAAACATAATTTCCTGATCCTGCGCATGCTCCATCCTGAGCATGCGTGCAAAATCTCTTATATTTTACAATACAAAATGCGACCCCCTTAGCCGTTCGAGCACTCGCGTGCCCACTGGATCGCACATCCGTCGTCGCCGTCGTCGTCGTCGTCGTCGCCGTCGCGACCCGGCTCCATCTACTGCAAAAATAGCATTTCCTGAGCATGCGTGCAGAATTTCGTGTTTTTTACAACACAAAGTGGGCGGTCCCCGTTGCGACCCGCCTCCATCATATGCAAAAACAGCATTTGCTGAGCATGCGTGCAGAATCTCTAACTTTTTTAAAACACAAAATGCGCCCTTTTTATGTAAACCCGCTCCATCTACTGCAAAAGATAACACTTCCTGCGCATGCGTGCAGAATCTCATGTATTTTACAATACAAAGTGCCTCCCGTTTCGACCCGATCCACCCACTCTCAAAATAGCCTTCGCTGCGCATGCGTGCAGAATCTCGTCCGCCCGACCCGACTCGTCCCGCCCGTTACAGCACTCGCGTGCCAACTGGATCGCACTGCTATTGCGCGGTCGTCCTCGTCGTCGCCGCCGTCGTCGTCGCTTGCACCGATGTTGTTACAAAGGGAGGAGAGATGATCTTTATGGTGGGGTGGCTTGCGGGTGGGATTGACGGCCACCGCAGGTGGGTTCGTGGCCAAGTTGCAATCGCGGCCAAGCCTGTTAGCCCCTAGCCCTAACCCCAAACCCAAACCCTAGCCCCAAACAGTACTCACTACTCATTACGCACTACCCACTACCCACAATTCACTGCTCGCGACTCACTACTCACTTCTCACTACTCACTACTCCCGACTCGCTTCTCACTACCCACGCCTCACTACCCACGACGCGCTACTCCCTAGTCCCTACTCCCTACCCACTACTCACTACAAACTACTAACTACTCACTACCCACTACTCACTACTCACTAAACACAACTCACTACCCACTACTCGCTAATCACTCATCAACACTTTCTACCCACTAACCACTATCCACTACGACTTACTCGCTACTCACTACTCACTACTCACTGCCCACACCTCACCACTCAGGATACACTACTCGCTACTCCCTACGCAGTACTCACTACTCACTACTCCTTACTCGCTGCTCCCTATGCCCTACTCGCTACCCAATGCGCACTATCCACTACCCACTACCCACCACTCAGCACGCTCCCACTACTCACTACTCAATACATCCTACTCCCTACTCACTACTCCCATTCCCAATTCACTACCCAATACTCAGTACCCACAACTCACTAAACACTACTCACTGCCCACTACTCACTACTCACTATGCACTAGCCACTATCCACGATTTACAACTGAAAATTCACAAATCACTGCTCACTCCGCACTGCCCATAATTCCCTTCTCACTATCCGCTACCCGCTACCCAATAGAAACTTATGCACTACCCACTACGAACTACTCGCTACTCACTACTCACTACTCACTACTCCCTGCTCACTAGTCGCTAGTCGCAAGTCGCTACTCACTACCCACTACGCACTACTCACTACTCCCTAGTTTCTACTCGCGCCGCCCTGCTCACTACCGACTACCCGCTTCTCGCTTCTAAATACTCACTACTCACTACTCACTACTCACTACTCACTGCCCACAACTCACTACTCACTATCCACTACTCACTACTCGCTATTCCCTACTCGCTACGCACTACTCCCTACTCACTACTCAGTACTGACTCGTGACTACTCCCTCCTCACTACTCACTACTCACAACGCCCTACTCGCTCCTCACTACTCACTACTACAACAACAACAAATCACCGTGCGCCAGGCGGCGCATTGGCCACTAATGGTCATTGGGCGTGCTCTGAAGATACAAGTGAAACGACGCATGGCAGAAGCAATCCTGGCTCTTATTTACAAGCAGAGGAAGGAGGAGGAGAAGGAGGAAGACGACGAAGGAGGCCCGAGCCCAAATGACTACGGCTAGCTTGGCTCACATGATGATTCGCGCCGACACATCTCTCCAAGACAGTCACTACTCGCTACTCGCCACTCGCTACTCGCTACCCACCCCTCACTACTCACTACTCACTACTCTCTACTCACTGCGCACTGCCCACTACTCACCACTCACCACTCACCCCTCGCTATTCGCTACTGTCTACTCCCATCATCCCTACTCCATGCGTACTACTCACTATGCACTACTCACTACACACGACTCACTTCACAATTCCTTACTCACTACTTCCTTCCCATTACTCACTGCCCACTACTCACTACTCACTACTCACTAATCTCTACGCGGTACTCACTACTACCACTACCCACTACCCACTACTCATTACTCACCACTAACGACTCACTGCGCACTACTCACTATCAAATGCCCACTACTCACCAATCGCTACTCAAAACACTCTACTCTCTACTCGCTACCCCTCCCCAGCCCCCTGTTCGGCGCAGAAGGGGGGATGGGGGGGGGGGTCGACCCCCCCCCCCTTTCCAGCGCCCAGGGGGGGGAGGGGGGGGGGGTCGGAACCACCCCTCCTTTAAAGGGGAAAAAGGGGGGGGGGGAAGTTCTGCGAGCACACGCGCCCTTTAGTGTATTCAGGGCCATCCGCTGGCGCGCTTTCCTAATTAGCGCCCCCCCCCCCCCCCCCCCCCCCCCCATTCACGTGATCGACCTTGCCCAAGATGGCCCAAAGATGGCCCCAAAGGCTCCCAAGGGTGCCCCAAGAGGGCCCCAAGGTGGCCAGGAAGCTTCAAGAGGCCCCCAGGATGTCCCCCAGAGGCTCCCAAGAGACCCCCGAGAGGCCCCAAGAGACCCCTCAGAGGCACCCAAGATGCTCCAAGCGGCCTCGGCGAGAATGCCAAGTCATTGATTTTGCGTTAGTTTTAACCACATGTTGGCCTCTTGGGGGGGGGGGGGGGGGCACTGATTAAGATGACTCCAAGAGCGCATGGGAGAGCCCAAGATGACCTTCAAGATGGCTCAAGATACCCCAAGATGTCTCATAATGGCTCCCCCGATGCTCCAAGATACCCCAAAACCGCTCCAAGACGGCTCCCAGTGGTCAAAGAGCTCCCCCAGGAGGCCCCGAAGAGGACACAACCTGAGGAAAGCCTATGTGTTTGGCTTTCTCGCCTTTTCGCTTCCGACGGTCATCCGAGGCCTCAAGATGGCTCCAAGATGGCCCAAGAGGGCTCCAAGAATGGCTCCAGAGAGAGAGGCCCAAGGCGGCCCCAAGAGCGCCTAAGAGCGCTCCAAGAGCGCCCCAAGAGCGCACCAAGAGGCGTTTGTTTGGGCTCCCGAGGGGCAACGCTAACTAATGCTCGCTTTGCGTTTGATCGATGTCCCCCAAGATGGCCCCAAAAGCGCTCCCAAGGCTCCCAGGAGCGCTTCAAGAGGGCCCCAGGAGGCGCCCAGGAGGCCCCAACAGGCGCCCAAGAGGCCTCCAAGATGCTCCCAAGAGACCCACAAGAGGCCCCAAGAAGCTCTCCGAGGCACCCAAGACGCTTCAAGAGGCCTCCACTGGGGGGGCGTTCCTCTGTGTGCTGCCCACTTCCCTGATCGAGGCAATTCCTCTGGGCATCGTTTCTGGACGGGCTGGTGGGGTTACTTTTAGGTCGCAGCCGCGCAGCAGAGGGCAGGCGGCGAAAGGAAGTCCGGGGCAACGGCTGGTGGGGTAACTTTTTTGATTTGCGGGCCGCAAGGAGAAGTCCAGAGGGCGGTATGGCCGAGGCTGGGGCACAGCGACAGATAATTGGCGCGAGAACGCGCGAAGTGCACCTGCAACCAAATTACGAAGAGGGGCGGCCACAATTGGGCAACCACCGAGCACAGGCCAACCCGCAGGTGGGGCCGAACCGAAACCCTGCCGGAGGCACGCAGACCCAAGCAAAAGCCGCTGGGCGGATGCCAGCAGAAGAGGGCGGCCACGGATGGGCAGACGGAAGCCCGGCCGGACCCGCAGGTGGAGAACCGACCGGCAACCAGGGAGGAGGGGGCCGGGGGGCGCGAGCGGAGAAAAAGAGCGCAACTGAGGAGGAAGCGCGGCGGACTCACTCACGTGGCACCCAGTGCGTGTACGTCACCGAGAACGCCGACCACTC